GGGTGCCCAGTACTTACAGATCATTGAAGGAGCACTGGGAGAAGACAACAAGTACGTCATTGGATGTGATTGCAAATTAGTCAGACCTAAGTAGCTCCCATAGGTGCCATCGTGAAGTGGTGGTAGCTCCGTATGCTGGCAAACACCACAACGGTAGATGGTGCATGGCTTGTTGCTGAAAGATTTTTCATGGGCCCTCAAGACAATGCTCTGACCATTAGGATTGGATGCCCTCTTCTAGGTCCTCACTATTTGCTGTATGGGAGTATGTAGCTCAGACAGGGCAGCTGCCTATTTGCACAGTTGTGCTTGCAAAACACTAGCAGCATGCGCCACAATTCGCATCTGTATATGCTTCGCCTTACATTAAGCAAGAGCCCTCCAGAAGCAGCGACACTTTAGCACATCCACCTTTAGACGACTTCTATTCCAAAATCCTGTAGGATCTCTCTCTAATGACACCGCAAGGCGAGCCCGGTCGAATCCTGGCGTAATCATCCGCATATTGATCCCCTCTATTCGGCATTGGAAGGGCAGAGGTCAGAATCCCGTTCCCCATCGATTTGCTTGATGTCTACAAATCTGCTGCTCCAGTGGAGAGGTGCTGCCACCAAGCCCCATGACTAAAGCGTATCATTTGCAGGAGTGAGCTTGGAGTGTTTCTGTCATGAGGACAGCAACTACTGCTGCTGCTGGTGCTCTCCCGATCTTTTAACGATAGTAAGTAAACCTATTCTTACTTGTGTGGCCGGTGCCTTCTGCTCTGCGGGCGGCTACTCTGCCGATAGACTCCCACATTATTACCATGAAGGGGGTTCAGCAGATGTTGTTTCACGTTTCTAGCGGCTTGCATGACGTCTGAACGTACCAAGCCAGGCAGGAGACGCGAACACTTGGTCCTAGGACCGCCAGAATCCCCCATTCACTGCCCAGCATGGCCTTCAAATATCAAGCAGTGACGGTTGCCTGCTTCTGAGCGCATGCAAGCCGCAGCCGATTATCTTCAAGGCAACCACAACAGCACCATTTGGCGTGCTTTCAACTCCTTACATGTAGACAGTCTTTCACAACCGATCCAGAGACATTTGGAGACGATCGCTATTAGATGAATTACAACAGAGACCTCAAGCAGGTAAGGCCCGTGAGGCCGCCCATGAACCAAACGGGATGCCACTATAAATAGTGTGCTTACATGTGCTTACAGGATCTCACGGAACACACGCGTTACACCTTTTCTACCCCAGATGCCTTTTGACAGGATGTCCGCAAGGCAGCCCCCAGCAGTGTTGACATTTTTGGGGCCAACAGGCATGCACTGAGTATCGTTTGTGGTGCCCTAGAGCTTTACGGCATGTGACAAGAGCACTTCTTCATGTTGCACCGTTGGCGGGTAGTTGGCAGAAGCATCAAGGCATTCACGTTCAGAAATAGGAGCCCCGCAGTTCACATGGAGACAGGGCAGCTTGTTTGAGTAAGAAATTGCTGTACGGGCTGGCCAGCGCTTGTTTTACACGAAGTTTTGCTGCTTCAGCGCTTGAGGAGACTTTGGCTTTCATGACTGCATGGCGTCTCATGTTGTGTATTGTCGGGGTCCTGCGAGGGCAATTTTCAAAGCTGCGGCGCACAGAGAGAGCTGCATTGGGTGAGCAGCGGACATCCGTGGTTTTTCCTTTGGTAGCATAGTGTTCAAGCTTGGTTGCGGCGAGGAGGTTTGGCCGCGGTGCCGTTCGCGAAGTGTTAAGGATACTGGGAAGCGTTACTTGCAGCAGGACTGCTGGTCTACACTACACAGATCCCAGGAGAGAGTAGTCGCGATAATTCCGTTATTGAAGTCTCAGAATTCATTTTGTGCGTCTACTGCCCTAGCGCATAGAGACTCGTACTGTGATTCACATCCTTGTCATGTTTGAGGGAACCGCACAGACCGTGGCAAACCATCATCATTGACTTGCTGAAGCCTTGCAAGCATCCAAGTTTGCACAATGTGTCGGGGGGAGTGAACAGGGGCACAAAGGAGTATACCCAGGAAGTATTCAGTTCTTAACACCTTGAGTCTTGAGTTATGGGCACGAAGCCAAGCTTGCTCGCCTCTCTGAGAAGTTGAACGAGATTCCGCACATAGACTTTCCCATCGCTCTGTGTTTGGCGTGCCGGCTTAAAAAAAAGCATGTTTTCGCGTGCGTGGGTGGAGTTCGAGGAGGGGAACGGATTTCTGCCATAGTGCTTCCCATGTTTTGAGCTTAGCTTGTGGGGTTCTGAATTTCGAAAACTCCCCGTTTAATTTGGACAGGAGGATGCGGGCAGAGTTTATGTCATGTTCCAGCAACATGGCCATTTCTCAACTAGGGATGGCCCGTATCGCAGAATCAACGGGTCCCTCGTCTGAGGTGTTGCAAGAGGGATGTTCGTACATGAGGCTGTCCAGACTGTGCCAACATGTACCACGCGGCGTTCTTCATTCTTGAGCTGTAACAAACTTCACGTTGGGGCGTGGCTCCAGGAATTAGATCTCCAAACCCACTGAAGCCGCAGCACCCTTCTCTGCTGTTCAGTATGGTTTCAGGCCAAGTTGGAGAGTTACACTGGGACAGCATGGTAGGCCTATAGCTAGTAGCATCAGCGGTCAACAGTAGTACATAACTCACAGAGTCGCATAGAGCAGTGCAATTCACTGATCCAGGTCATGTCACGTTGCGGCCTAGGCTGGACTTGTGCGACTGCTTGCTTCTTCACCGGCGTTTGCGCCTCAACTCCTTTCCAGGCAGTACTTCCTTTATGGTAGATTGCAAAAATATGATTTTCAAATGTGGTCACTTCACGGCAAGTTCCTCAAGTTAGCAAACAAAAGGCAGGCAGAAGTGGGACCCTTGCCACAACACAGCCCAGCGTGAAATCCCAGTCTTGAGTCCGTGTATTTCTGAACAGTGCAACTGTTAAAGTCCCATATAATCCTCTTCTCCTGATATACAGTATACTCGACACCCTTAATACCCCCCATCAACGGCACAATTTATAGGGGGATCTGTATGGTCAGGTGGGGTGGAGGGGGCCTTATTAGTAGCCGTCAAGCTTAATTCCTGTTGTAGTTTCCATTTGCTTTTGCATTGGGGTTCGTTGGCTTCAGTGGAGGGAATCGAATCAACGTGCCTACACATTGCCTACGGCCTACGATACACCTGTCGGATGGACACCAGGTTTGAAACAAGGCACAGCTGCAATCAAGTAACCAGATGCGCTAAATTTTGTGTATCTACCACAGCGGGAGTTTTGGTACACTGAACTGCTTATTCAGTAAAGAACACGCAGACAAAATCCATGCTGCAACCCAAGACTGTGCCATTTCCACAGCATGGAACCCCACTCTCCAAGCGGCTGGTTGATCCCCTTCCCCTTTCTCCCATCCATGTCCTAAGCTTTCTGCGAGCCTCTTTGCGAAAAACACCTGATCTCGGATCGACCCCCTCTTATTCTAGGCCCCTTGACGGGTGTGTAAACCAGAGGTTTCCCTAAAGGATGCTGAATCCAACACGAAAAGGCTCCGCGTACGACGAGAAGGTCTCCCAACTGAGAGGTGCAAACCCAGGCTGTCAAGGCAACATTTGCTTTTACCTTTTTTCTGCGCAGTTTTTTGAGTATTTGGTTTACAAATAAATGTTTACACAAAGTAGGCTAAGCAGGCTGACCATATTTGGTGGTAGGCGCCAACCAGAGAACCTTGTCAACTGCGCATCGCCAAGGTGTCTCCGTGGGGCCCAAGGGGCTGCAACTGGGAATGCATGAGGATTTCTTACCATATCGTGGTTGTCTCCGGAGGAGGCGATGTAGAAAGAATAAACTCCCAGTCTACGAGCTGGAGCCGGTGGTGTTAAATTAAGTTGTTCTGAGACTTCTGTGAAGTGGCATTCCCATCCCCGGCTTGCTGCGGCCCTCTGATCTGAGATCTGCCTTGCTGCCCTCCTACTTTGTTGGCCGCAAAGCGACCCCAGCACTTGCAACTTGTGCAAGAAGCCTTTCATCACATGGCAGTCATCAGAAGCCTGCAGCCCTGCGCCCCAAGGCCCTGCGTGAACTCTGAAATGCGCGTGTTGAAGGCCTAACTCTCCCCAATTCTACGCACAATTCATGGAATCCGCAGCAACTGAGCTCAAGGCGATAGCTAACTTGACGCTTCACAAGGCGCAGCGTGACATGTAAGATTCCCCGCAGTCGCCAAGATCCACCTACTCCTTGTACCACTTAGTTAGCATCATCCCCATAGTTACCTTTGCCTCCCGAATCCCTGCTATGCCCGGGAGTTGCACGCGGTGCCGTCAGCACAAGGCCGATGGTTCCAAGGTGTCATCAGGCACTGAGGAACCAGTCCCCGAATCAGCTTAAAAGTGGGCATCGTATCAGTGTTGTGTTGGGCATAAGGGTGATGACGGCATTTGAGCATCAGCATAATTCCTCCTGCAATTGATGCCATTCTTGGCACGCTCACTATGAAAAGTCTAAGTGCACCCTTGATCTGTCATGCTCCTTGGCATTTCTCCTAGCATCTTGGGGTTATTTGTATTGCCAGCATATGGCGCATATACCAGGTAGATTATACCCAACTACTCCATGAGATGTTCTCGTAATCTGATGTAGCAGAAGCATGTGGATCAGGGTTCCTGGGGTCTTGAGGTATGGGCCAGTGTTCTAACGCAGAAAGACTAGGTCGCTGCTTGGGATCCTGTTGCACGTGGCAGCTCGGAAGCCACAACACTCTTTCTGGCAACCTAGGGAAATTGTACGTCGCCGTAACCCGACGTATAAAGCTTCGTCTCGCGGTCTGCAAGTGGTGCCTTCCCCCTTAGCCCCATTAACTCCCTGATGGTGCATATCCCTATAATAAGATGCCATGAAACTGTATTCGAATTTTTGGGTATGAGTGTCTTTGGTAGTGTTATAGGAGAGGTGATGATTGTGCAAAGGCACAGGCCCCCAAACCAAGGCTCTTCTTTTCTTGCCTGTGCAAGGAGTATGGCCACAGGGATGTGGACAGCCTCTTCTGGTATTGTGACCGGTTTGATGTGGTCCCGTTTTGAACCTTATCTGTAGTCCTTAAAGTCCTAAGCCAAAGGCGACTGCAATGCCAGGAACACTTGAACTTTTGCTGAGGGCACCCCCTGTTTGCGGCATGTCAGTGCTTCAGAGCAATTCTGCTTTTTACAGCTGACACTTGAGCAGGGGCACTTGGACGTGAAGTTGCTGTAAAGTGCTGGGGTCACCTGGTTTTCCCATGGAAAACTGCACAAATCGGGAACCAAGGCGAGGACTGTTGGCTTACGTTCTGCGGTCGCAGGAGGCGCTGTGGCCTCTGCAGGGTCTTGAAGGACGAGGGCCACGTGGATCAGGCGGGCTTCACTCCGTCACGTCTCTACATGAGGGTCCTGTTGTGGTGTCAAGTTTCTCATATGAGTGTTGATCATATATCCCCCCTTTGTGTGCGGCTATCATGCAAACGGTTTATATGTCATGGTCGCCGTTGTTGTGCATGCAGAGTTACTTTCCAGCTACAAACCATTTGTTTTACAGTGCTTGGCTAGCTGCTTGCACTGGAGATGCTAAAGAACAGGTGCTGGACTACTGGTATTGCCTTCCTTGCTGGGATCGCCGTTCTGCGGTGCCACCTCCAGGCCACCGTAAGGTACGACATAGGACAAGGAGACGATGTAGGAATAATAGCGGGATGACTACAAGGGCAAATGCGGGTCTGATTCTTAAGGGCTTTAGGATTTGAATAGGGTTGCGAGAAGGCCACTAAGGGAGGTCTATACATAGGTAGCTGAGTTTTAGGCTTCGAGTGTATCTGGAGTCAGGATTTCTGGACAGGGGTGAAGGACGCTTTGCAAGGTCCAGCTGTGCTATGCCAATAGCACTTTGCTGGGTTTAAGGGCGGTTTTTTTGCCAATGACGTGATGTCTCTTTTTTCTCGGCCGAATCGGGCAAAGTAAAGGTGCCATCTAGGCATGTGCTGAGTATTGTCCAGAAGGTCATGGTTCCCCACAGTACTACTATGCTTTGTTACCTTGAGAATTTGGATGTTGTTGTTGCCGTGTTCTCGGAAGTTGCTCAAGTTTGGGGCCCTCTTCTTTCCCAACATCTTGTTCTAGTGACCTTTCGAAGAAACACCGACAATCTCAGGCAACTCCCCTCTGTGCTCTTCCAGCTCAGGCTATGGTGCACCTCCAAGCTACTGGCCGCCCGCTGGAGGGCCTCCTGCTCTACCTCCCGGTTATCCACCACCAGGAAGAATTTTATTTTGAATAGGGACGGGCAATCTTGCATGGGGACTTTGGCTGGGAGTCCTTCAGCTCAAGGGACCCTTTAATTTGGACCCGCATCACAAAAGACGCTGTCCGAGCTTAACACAAGTGACTCCGGTGAGGCGGTTTCCCGCCAGCTGGGTATCCCTATTATCCGGCCCCGAGCCAGGATCCTTAGCTCTTGGGCAAGGCTTTGAGTTTTGCAGTTGGAACCGGCTACTGAAGGCTGTTTGCCACAAACCTTGTTGCAACCTAGCTTGTCATGATGACCAAAATATGTTGGGCATCATGCATGTCACTGGTGCTAGTGTCACCATCAGCATCACCGTCACCATCATGTTCATTCTCATCACCGCTATCACTATCATCATCCTGCTCATGGCTGTGGCTGTTCTTCTACGTCTCGTGCTGCCAGAGGCCCCTGGGTACCGGAGAAGATCGGAGTCTGGCTCTCGAAGTCGATCACGATCACGCTCCCGTGGCAAAGGAGCGCGGAAGCGGAAAGCCAACAGCGCAGCAGGTCAGTCGCCAAATTTGTTTAATTTTGAAGGCGTGCCGGGTGTATCTTCGGTGCAACGCTACGATGAAGTGCAGGGACCGTACAGGGCTCGGTAAGGTAAGGATGGCATGACTAGCGGGCAGAACCATGCACAAGTCTTGAAGTCATTGCAAATACGCGTGCCCTGCTCTTGGGTGTTAGGCTGTGAATTTTGACGGCCACCTGGCAGGCTTCAAGAAGGAGTTCAAACCCTATCATGCCACCAGCGTCCCAAAGGAAACGGACTTTGCAGCTGTTGCCACCAGTGACAATCCTCCGACTACGGCCATGCTGAGGATTCGGGTTCCCCCCACCACCCACCACAAGGAGTATGAGTAGGTGCATCTTACAGCGGCTTTTAAGGTTAGGGGTTCGATACTTGCATGCGAGGGTCCCTTGTTATCCTCAGTGGGGGGAGACGGGTGGACCCATGCCAGGAACATACCCAGCAAGTGCACACAGGCATCGCTGCTAGAAGAGATCGATTCCGAGGGCTTCACCGGCCTGTCACCAGTGCTTGTTGGAAACTGTTCAGGGTTTATTTAGAGTCTTGGTTCAAATTGTGAAGCTAAATTGGGAGACACAACTTCATTGAGGTATGATTTCTTCTACCTTCCCATGGACGTACGCAACAAAACCAACGTCGGCTACGCATTCGTCAACTTCTTGCAGCCTAGTGACATGACGCGGTCCCTGGATCACGGCACAGCTTTATGAAATCCTTACATAATCCTTTCCTTTATACCCTATGACAACCCCGATATATACCCTATTAAAATGTAGTAGTTGCCAACTGCTTTTCCATTTCCCCTACTGTAACCCCCCTATAACCTCTATGGAGGCAATTGCTTTGAAATTAACACAGGTGCCATGCGCTCATAGACCTGTGGTCAAGCATTTGGTGTTTGCTGGACACCGTAGTTTTCATGCTGAGCTGCAAGCTTTGATTCCGGAGCAAGAACAATCATAAATGCACATGATTGCTTTGTCTTGCCAGCGTTGCGAGAGTTCGGGTTTGTGTGGGAAGTCCGCGCTGCAATCCTGCTTGTCAAGCTTCATGCGTCCATTGTTGGAAGCTTTGGGGGAGATTCCTTGCGACAAAAAGACACAGGCCTCTAAAAGCAAAATCCAGCTCTGTGGTGGGGCGATTTGGAATAGATGAAAGGTATTCCGATTTTCTCCCAAACGCACAAGAAAGAAGCAAAGGCAAAC